CCCCTGCTGACAATAGGCTAAAACTAGCTCTTTTTCCCAAAGAATGAAGTAGGGAAAGAAACAAATGTCAGCTTTACAATGGAAAAACCTGACAAACACAACCTTAAAAGTCTTCAATGTTAACATCCCCTCTGCTGTCATATGGATATCATGTATTCTTGGTATGATGTGATAAAAAAGGCACTTTTCTTCTATAGTACTGTTTTTCAAAATTCAGTCTAAGTATCAGAAAAACATCAACCAAATTCATATGTGAGGACATCCTATAAGATGCCTAGCTGGTACTCCTCAAAATTGTTAAGATAAGACCAAACAAGGAAATACTGAGAAACAGTTACAGACTAAAGGAGACTGAAAAAAGACAGAAACTAAGTGCAATATAGTACCTTAGATTGAATACTACAAGAAAAAGAGAACATTTTTGGTGAAATACGAACAACATCAGGAGTTTAGTTGACCATTTGAGGTCAAAAAAGACTATGTTCTGACTTCCTTATGTCACTTCTTATAAACCTTTCATGGTCATTTTCATGGTCTATTTAAGTGTCATGCTTTTGCATTTTTGTGCTTTTCATTGGTGATATTGACATTTAAAATGGCCCCCAAGCATGGTACTAAAGTGCTGTGTACCCTCAGCACAAGAAGGTTTTAATGTGCCTTGGGGAGAAAATAGGTATGTTAGATAAGCTTTACTTGGGCATGAGTTGTAATGCAATCGGCCGTGAGTTCTATGTTAATTAATCAACAATACATATTTAATAAGATGTGTTTAAACAGAAGTACCTATAAAATGAGTTTTTATATTAATCTATTGACCAAACTGTTGTTACCAGAGGCTCACAGGACTCTAACCCTATATTTCCCCTAGGAGCAATGGCACAGCATTTGCTAATTCAGTGTTTATGACAAGTTTGTAGAACATAACTATCACAAATAATGAGAACCTACTATATAGACCATGATGTGGTCTATCTAGGTTATTACCATTAAACAGTAACAGTCTTGGTTTAGAAGTATAATGGTTACACATGTATAAAATGGGGTGTTTTTGTTTGTTTGTTTTAAGTGGATATTTAATGCCTTAGCTGTAATCATTTTACAATCTACAAATGTATTAAATCAACATATTGTATACCTTAAACATACACAATGTTCTATGTCAATTATATCTCAATAAATCTGGAAAAATAAATATTGGGACAAAAAATGTAATCTTGGTAGTTGTGCAAGAAATAAAAAACTCAACAGAACTGAGTTGCTCAAATCTTGTACATTTCCAAGCAGGGTTTGTTTTCATGAATGTCCTTGGTCAACTCATGGAAACTGAAGTCTTGGGATGTTCCAGCTGATAAGAGTGTTTTGCATACCACAGGCCTTGAACTATCTAGACCGATTTGTCTAGCTAATTTGTGCAAACAATGTTACTTGTCATGAACACTTGCTTTCCTTTTTGGATCTGGAGCTTCAGTGATCATGATCAGTCATGTAAGTATCATGTGCCTACTGGGCCATGCTCAATAAAACCCCTGGACTTCCAGACTTAAGTGAGTTTCTTTGGCAAACAATATTTGATACATGTCAAAATGTACTGATGGAGTAATTAAATGTGTCCTGTGCAACTCTCCTTGGGGAGGAAACTTACGCTTGGTTTCTTCTAGACATTGCTCCCTGCACTTTCTACCTTTGCTGATTTTGCTTTGTATCCTTTCACTGTAGTAAGTCAAAATTATGAGTATAATGACTTCTGAGTCCTGTGAGTCATTTTATCAAATTACCAAACTTTGGGATGATCCTGGAGACCCTTAGGTTTTAATATAA